TGTATTATTAGAAAAGTACTAATATAATAGCAGACCATAATTCTACAAAGGTACGAGCATTTCTAAACAACTATCTTTGTAAGATGCTCAATGTTCGTTGGCCGGAGGCTATCAGCAACAGCGTACTGTGGAAGTGAACAAACCAGCTCTCATCTGAAGAAGAAATTAAGAAAAGACGCCGGAAGTGGACAGGAAATACGTTGCGGAAATAATCAAACTGCATCACAAGGCAAGCCCTAACTTGGGATCTTGGGGGTTAAAGGAAAAGAGAAAGACCAAAGAACACACTGCTTCGGGAATCGGAAACAGACATCAAGAGAATGAATAACAAGTGGGAAGGATTGTAGGGTCAGGAAAGTGTCACCGGTAAAATAACATTAGAAATTCTCAATCAAACACATTGTAGTACCAGTCAACTTTTATCAACAACCCACGGTACAGGACACAGAGACCACGGTCTCGCTAGTGAAATATGCCATAAGAGCAAAAACCCAACAGAGACCAGTTCGCATGGAACTCGCCAACACACTGTGAGCAAGAATTTGTTTAAAAGCTAGAAGACAGATGCTGCTTTAAAGTGTCGGGTGATAAAACAAACCATCAAGTGCCTCTATACCAATGTAAGAGGACTAAGGGGTAAACCAAGGGAAATCAGAAACATTTGCTCACGGTTGAACCTGAAGATCACAGTCCTCCCTGAAACACATCTATTGTTTCAATATGAACGGCACAAAGTACTTGATTTGGGGGATGTACCGCTCCACGAAATGGGACAGGGACGGAAAACCCTCAAACTAATAATGTTTATTGAGAAATGACCGGTTTCTAATTGAGGATATCTGTGTCCGCCCATCAGTGTGAAGTAGCTATCAAGATATATTCATACTCGTGGAATGCCCTTTCTGCCTAATCGATCATAGCTCCACCCAGTGGATAGCTCTGAGAAGGCACTTTCACTGGCCTTCTAATGTTTGACTCTAGGTGGGTCGTGCGAATGACTGTTATCGAATTATACGTCGCAAGTCCTCGTATATGGTCATCGAATTAAATCGCTCAAGCGAATAACGGAATTAAACAAATCAGATGTGAGAATGGGTTTTTGAATATGTATATTTCGCACACTCATTGATCTGGGCAGACTATCAGAGGGACGGAGCGAAGCGAAATGACGTGCAATGGAGTAGGCCTGTGAGCCAACTCAACTTAACTAGGCGTGAATCGTTATTTGTAGTCACAGACACGTGATGAATAGAATGAAAGTGAACACACGTACGCTCATATAAAAATAGTCAAGGTTGGTAAGTGAATAATTAACAAGATCAAAATGCGACTCAAGGAGAATGAGTAAATTGGCCTGTTCAGTAGCTAGAATAGGCTATGTGGGTTTAATATAGTAACCGACACTACATACTTAGCAAACACATACTCACATGGATTACCGCCCCCCTCTTGAGCCAGCTGTGATTAATGAATATCTGACAAATTAACACTGTTATAACTACCCCATATCAGCGACTACCTTCTGTCCCTCTTGTTATTATCTCTGCTTCCCCTCCTATTCTTTCAGTCCCGTCTTCTTATGCATTACCAATTAAGTAAGTCATTTATTTATTCTCGAAAGACTTGTAGCATGGAGTCGAGTCGCGATTGGCTATGAACACCACTACAAGAAGACTACGTGCCAGTTAACCGATAAAATCTCTCGTAAGCCAAATATCAGAAGGTAGTTGATGACTGTAGTCGAAATGTATTTGTTGGCGATCTCGTGGCATCGAAAGGATACAGAGGTCGTGCCAAAGGAGTACAAGCGTGGTTACCGAGCGTAACCAAACCCGTGCAAGGTCACAATCGCAAGATAATGGAGTAGTAATATGGCTGTCCTTAGTACAGTTAAACAAACGAGCACAGTAAAACAATCACTGGCACAGTTGGTTATAATAATGATTGTTTCCATTAAATCAATCGCGTTCTCCTGATAAAAGTAAGTCACTACACACTCTGCTTCCGGTACCTCTGTTACCACTTCATTGTTTTCAAAGTGAAACCAACCATTTTGCTTCCCGGTGATGTGGTAGCTCCTGGTATCCAGAAATCCTAATGCCCTGAAACAAACTCATTCGCTTAAAGTAAAAGTCGTGCAAATACACAAATAACTCCTAAACTGACTAGAATTAGTCCAGTGAGTGGGTAGACTACATTTCACTAGTCACTATTAAATACCTGGAACCGTATCGAAATAGCAAGAAGAAAATGTGAAGATTTATACTAGCGCGTGACAAAGATATTGGGTATGGGATACCATTCCACTTGTGGACTGTCTAGACGATAACAAAACGTGTGAAGGACAGGGCCTACCACCTCGGCAAACCTCATATAGGTGGGCTACCTGTCCATTCACGTAAGGCTCATACAGACAAACAGGACGAAGCTCACGCGTTCCAAATTGAAAGCATAAACTGCTTATATATGAACGCCGCGAGTCTACCAAACAAATTCGATTAACTACGTGAACTTAGCAACGCTAACAAGGCTCATCTGATAGGAATATTTGAAACCTGGATATCTTCTCAGTTCTCGGACCAAGAATTAGCATTACCTGGGATGTCTTTGTTCCGCAACAACAGAAAATCAGGAATTGGGGGCAGAGTAGCCGTATACATACGTTCTTGCTTGGAGGTGCTCCAGGTTCGTAACCTCGAGTTTAACAATCTTGAGGAATCCATATGATGCTCTGTAAGATTGTCTAGTACTTCGAGGTGTCTAGTCGGTGTCATTTATAGGAAGCCAACTGCCGACATTGAGTACGATAGTCGTATGCTGGAAGGACTATCCCACTCTACTCGTCTCGGTTTCACACACATCCTGATTCTAGGGGACTTTGGTCTCCCTAGAGTCAACTTCGCAGAACACACGTACACTGGAGGCGACAACTCAATTGAAGCTCGGTTCTTCAACCTCATCGATGACTTGGGATTGTTCGAAAATGTGAGGTCGGCAACTCGCTGGAGAAACAGTCAGACACCATCGCGCTTAGACTGTGTATTCACAAACGAAGAATTTCTAGTTGACAACCTTTCAATCCTGGCTCCCCTGGGAAAAAGCGATCATGCCGTCATAGCCTTCAGTTTTGTCAGCAAAACTAAGCTAAGATACCCCACCAATATCTTGCGTTGTAATTTTAAACGGTTGAATGTGCTAGCTCTACACGACTATCTACAACAGGTGGTTTGGGATGTTCACCCCCAACTCGACGTGGACGGTCATCGGGACTTCTTACTGCACACGCTCTTATGTGCTACAAACCATTCAGTTCCTCAAACTGTTCCCAAAAGCTGCAAGCTACCTACAATAATAAAGAACCGTACCCTTTGCCTGCTAAGCCGCAAAAAGCACTGTTGGGCGGAATACAAACGAAATGACAACGACGGAGCGTACAGGCAATATAAAAATATCAGGAACATATGCACGAAGGCTATAAGGGAAGATAGGCTTCAGTACCAGACAAAGCTTATGGACAAATTTGCCTCCAATACTAAAAGCTTATTCCGTTATGCAGCCTCTCTTCGTCAAGCCAAAACTGGAGTTTCCCAACTGGTAGGTCTTAATGGCCCGCCCAACAACGATGGCAACGCCGCTAACCTTCTGGCTGAACATTACTCTTGTACTACCAACCTGCTGACTGCGGTGGACAGATGGACAAGCATCCTCGATCACAAGGGGAAGGTTGATATCATCTACCTAGATTTCTCAAAAGCTTTAGATAAGGTTAACCATACATGTCTTATCAATAAGCTCAAACGATTGGGTATCAGACCACCTCTAATCGATTGGCTCACTTCATACATGAAAAATCAACATTTTAAGGTCAGTGTTAGTTTCACTTTATCTCAGGCTATGGAATGTCCTAGTGGGGTCCCCCAGGGCTCAGTATTAGGACCTCTTCTCTTCTTGATCTACATAAGTGATCTTCCTCAACAGGTAACGTCAGACTTATTACTTTTTGCTGACGGCGTAAAACTTTGGAGAGAGATATGCAACCAAGACTATATACAGACAGTTCAGGAGGATCTGAATCGACTTCAAAGTTGGGCAGACGATAACGGACTTACCTTTAACACTTCAAAGTGTAAACTAGTCCATCTGCGACATGTCGCAGATTACAGTTATAACTTGGGAAACTCCTCTCTAGTAGTATCCCAAGTCGAAAAAGATTTAGGAGTCCTGGTGCCCTACGATTTGAAGTCTTATGCTAACTGTGACAAAAATGCCTTTCGAGCAAACCTTGCACTGGTAACATTGAAGCGCATTTTTGGCCAGTTTGACGGAAGAACTTTCCATATAATTTTCAATGGTTTTATCCGTCCCCATTTAGAGTACGGAAACATAGTATTTCCCCCCTCACTCCAAAAGGATAAGGACACCTTGGAGCGTATCCAACTGCGAGCCATGAAATCAGTTCGAGTACTCAAATTTAAACCTTATGAAGAGCGCCTCCATTCACTTAGCCTTTACCCATTAGAGCATAGACGTCTTCGAGGTGACCTCGTGATGGCTTACAGTATCCTTAACACTTCTGGACATCCTCTCAAACACCTACTTAAGCTTAGTTCCAACACTAACCTAAGGGGCAATACCCAAAAACTGGAGACACAACATAGCAGAACGGACTGTAGACACAACTTCTACTCCTTAAGAGTTGTCAAATGCTGGAATTCGCTGCCGGCCGAGCTAGTCCAAGCAACTTCCCAGGAGTCCTTTAAGAGGCAACTTGACCTATTCTTAAGGACTAAGGATAGTACCACACTATGATTTACCAATTTCTTTTCCTCTTTTATTGTTAACATACCTAGGTTCCTGCCTGGGGGATTTGGTGATCCCTTGCTACTAGACACGGAAGCCTGTTAAACGAAAGCTTCTTCTATTCCGTCCACAACCATTTGAACTATTTGAACTAGTTGATTTGTAGGTCACTGGGGGGCGCGTAGTTGGTCCTGTCGTCAATGGGTATTGGTTCGTTTTGTTTTGAATATCTCGTAATGAACGGTAACTAGAAGCTTTAGTTAGTTCCGCAGATGAAAACACCGATGAGGCTACCCAAGCTCAACAGGAAGCGATCGAAAGAGATGTAATTTTGCCGAATAATATCAAGTTTGTGCTATAGATGAAGTCTACATGTCTAATTTCTGGAATTCTTCCACTTTCAACACTTGATGAGGACTTCACTGGTCATTTAGTTTACTTGGAAAAATTAAAGGTTAGATATCTTGTGAAATTCATAGTGAATTTATAAAGTGACCTAGAAAACAAAAGCCTATCTGTTTTTTTTTATTAAGGACTGTCTATTACGTTTCTTAAATATAGGAAGCGCGGTGCGATGACTTCGATTACATTTAACCGTTTGAACTCGTTTCAGAAAGCCCTGCTTCAAGCAATATCGCGCCCATGTAGTGTCTAATAAGTATTATTTATTGGTTCGTATTTTTCGATTTGACTACAATCGTGGGTTAGAGAGAACGAAGGTTTACGCTAGTCATCTTTTAGTATAAAATATAGTAAAAACTAGCCTTTCAAAGCCATCTGCTACGGTTTAAGTGCGGTATGGCATTAATGGTAATAGGTTCATTATTGAATAAACTTCATTGATAGGTATATTATGGGTGTTATTCGGCTTATCAAAGCAGCGCACTACAGTTCCACATTAGTTGTGACTGTTAAGTACTTTAAAAACCACGTTATCTTTAAGGCAACTAAAGATGGAACTCACATAAATCAGGTTTTAATATAAATAATATTCCCACTTAACAGTCCTCAAGTCTGTTTCAACGAAATATATTATTTGTTTTTCGTTTAATTTAAGGTAATTGTTAATGATAATAAATAAATTAGTAGGCTAATCAACATAATCTTCTTACTGCGTATTTCCGTAACCCAGTGGTCTACTCCTCTTACCCATTTTTTTACCTTTATCAACAAGCTTGTGCTATATTTTTGTGGACAATAAAACTAAAGCCATTTTAGCGTGTTTGCTCGGATCAGTATCTTCATTACACCATTCATAGGTCCAGTTGTGTTGCTAGTTTCACGTTGGCACTCTTTCATACTTAAGTACAACATTAGAAACATACTTTGTGTTCACCGTATGTCATAAAATATTTGTAAGTCATTTTTAACCTAAAATAGCCATGATTTAAAGGTGTCATACTATTCGGATAAAATAGCAAAGTATTCTAATAGTCAGATATTAATAGTATAGGAAAAATGTAAATGTATACTTTTCTAGTTAAAAATCAATAAGAGACTGATCAATTTCAGTCCAAAAACATCAATAGGAAGATTCAAGTAAAACAATATCAAGTGAAAAATCAACTTAGTTTATTTTTTTGTTTTGGACTGTTTGTTGACAAAAATGCGATGGTGTAATTTTAAGATTGCTGAAAACCAAATCAGTTCTGCCTCCGTAAATACTCACTTAAATCTACGGTATCGACATGCTGAGTATCCTGATTTTGCCCTATAAATCTATGTTTTCTATGCAAATTTAATCTAGTTGCTTCACAAGCATAATGTAATAGGCGACACCTATTTTATTTATTTAATTCCCGACCGTTATTGCTACCTTGACGTGGTGGTCGGGCTTGGCTATCGTGATGAAGCAACCGAGCTATACTGGCTGGAACAACCGTTCCTCAAGGTCCTACCATGTCAGACAGGTCGGTTGAAGAGCGGTAAGACTAAATGCAACAAACCCAAGGTCCGGAGGTGGAGTCGTATCGCTGACTGTACAGAGGTGTGACAGCAGTAAGGTGTTTCCTTCAGACAACCAGCATGACAGTGATGCTGCCTTCCCACAAGGAGGGGTGGGGTTAGAAAAGGTCGACCCTAAAAATGCACACCTCGCCTTATCCCACGGATATCCGTCTCCGGCGGTAAGGTCTCAACAAGTACGGAGCTAACACAAAAATTGCCCATAAAAAGGTCGTGTGTAACCGACCTCAAGCAGTTGTCCCTTGGGCACTGCGGTCACGCTTCCAGGTCACTAAGACCACCTCTAATCCAATTTCCTTTTCAGGTACCTTCAGAACAACCCTTCCACGGTGTGGGCAACCGGGAAGTGATAACCTCCCTCATACCTCTAACAGCACTCAAGACCACTGTATTCATAATCAACCTCCGTCTTCATTTTCTACGTCACCTTTGGCGGAGGCGAGATATCCGTCTATCAATAAAAGGACGAGTATACTGCGCGGCAGTCCGTTCTGTCTTACTTTACGGCAGCGAAACATGGCCTTTAAGAGTAGAAGACACTCGTAAGCTACTAGTATTTGACCACAGATGCCTTAGAAATATTGCTGGCATCTGCTGGGATCACCGGGTAAGTAATAGTGAGGTTAGACGCAGGGTATCAGGGAATGATGGTAAATCAGTTGATGAGGTTATGAATCTTCATCGACTGAGATGGTTGGGCCACGTATTACGTATGCCTGAACACCGATTACCACGACGTGCAATGCTAACCGGTGTAGGGGTTGGTTGGAAGAAAGTTAGGGGCGGCCAAACCAAAACGTGGCATCAGTGCTTGAAGTCACTAACTTCTAGTCTGAGCCATGTTGGTAGATGCAGACTACTTGGTTGGGGTCCGCGTGACTATCGTAACCAATGGTTGGAGACTCTTGGTGACATGGCTCAGAATCGATCACAATGGCGTCGGTGTATACACTCCCTGTCTTCCCTTAAACTAAGAGATTAAATCACTTCATATCTTTCTTTCTACGAACTGATTCTTCCTTCCTATACTATATCCTTATTGCAACCTTTGACCTAACCACTCCTATGAATCCGGTGTTCATCTTGTTGTGCTAATGAGGTATGGCAACCTGGACCGATGCACATATGTGCCTGGTCCTACGTTGTAGCTGACTGACTCTATTATTCCTCCTACATCGACTTTCACCTCTAAACTTCCTTTTTCGGCTTCCCCCATCAAGTGTCACCATAGCCAACGGTTCTAGTGCTCAAAACACTGTCCCAGGTCTACTGAAACCTCGCTCCAAACTACACATTGGAGCCTTCAACGTACGCACCCTATGTCAAATCGGTCAACAGGCTTCCTTGGCTAGAACCATAGAATCTCGTACCATTGATGTATGCTGTGTCTCTGAAACACGCATACAGGATCTCAGTGTGGTCATTCACTTGACCTCACCTTGGCAACACGGAGAGCCAACGAGATACACCCTCCGTGTATCTGGTGACCCGACGGCCAGTTCTCGTGGACTGGCAGGAGTAGGGATAGCACTAAGCATGAGGGCGGAACAAGCATTGTTAGAGTGGATCCTCGTTAACAGTCGTTTATGTGCTGTTCGGCTAAACGGCTCCGTAAGAACTCGGAAGGATAGGGACACACGTCGTTGCCTTTTTGTCGTTTCTGCCTACGCTCCCACCGACTGCAGCTCAGATGAAATGAAAGATGAATTTTACAGAGAGCTATCTGAACTTCTTCAGAAAGCTAAACGTTCAGACATAGTACTCGTAGCAGGTGACTTTAATGCCCAGATAGGTAGTTTAAATCAAACAGAAAGGCATTTAGGTGGGTATTTTAGTATTCCGGCACAACGAACAGATAATGGTGATCGTCTGCCACAACTATGCTCAGACAATCGTTTATGTTTAGCAAACATAAATTTTAAGCATAAGGAAAGACATCGTCTAACACGGTGACCCCCTACACCAAACCAACGATGGACTCAAATAGACCATATTGCCATCAGTCTTCGTTGGAGAGGGTCGGTAGAAGATTGTCGCTCATTCTGGAGTACCTGCTTGGACTCCGACCACGCCCTAATACGGGCACGCATCTGCTTGCGCCTCACTGAACGCAAGAAAGCCACAGTAAAAAGACCCATTAGAATTGAATTGAGTAGCGGGAAAACCAAAAGTAGGTTCCAGGAACAACTGAGGTCACAATTAAGTAGTTCTGGAAACGAGGTTGACCCAGATGTTGCTTGGGAAGATATGCAAACAGCTGTGGAAACAGCAGTGACATCTATCAGTGGTTTAAACCACAGGGTTACAAAGAACCAATGGATTTCCTCAAGGTCTATTACACTGATGGATTCTCATAAACTCATTCCATCAGGCTCTGAACACGATGAAAAGCGACAACAAATCAGATCTAGATTAACCAAAAGTCTAAGGAACGACCGTGAGCAGTGGTGGGCAACGAAAGCAAAAGAGATGGAAAAGGCGGTGGTTGTAGGGAACACAAGACAGCTCTACAGACTAATAAAAGAAACTGGAATTAATAAGTCAAGTATAAGTCAGACTATTTCGGAAAAAGACGACACCCTCATCTGATCTCAGTCCAGACGTTTAGAACGATGGGCGGAACAGTTCAGCTGGCCTTCAGCTACTCTACAACTACCCTCCATTCCCAGACAGTGTGAATGGAACAATCCTAGCCGAAGTTCAAAAGGCTATAACTAATCTGAAACGAGGAAGGGCAGCTGGTCCAGATGGATTGGCTTCAGAGGTCTTTAAGGATGGTGGTCCAATTTTAGCGATTAGGTTGACTAATATTTTAGCTAAGATCTGGAAGTTAGATGTTGTCCCATCTAACTGGTCACAATCACTTATCGTCCCAATATATAAGAGAGGGTTAAAATCATCCTGTGACAACCATAGAGGGATTAGTTTAACTAATATAGTATCTAAAATACTAGCCTCGATAATTATCGGACGCCTACCTAAGACTTGTGAACTGCAAACACGAGAGACTCAAGCTGGCTTCAGACCTGGTCGTGGCTGCATCGACCACATATTCACCATCTGTAAGGCTCTAGAACATAAGCATACTTATCGACGTCCGACAATGATGGTCTTTCTTGACTTAAAAGCAGGATTTGACTCGGTAGACCGCGAGATTCTGTGGCAGTGTCTGTCACTGAAAGGCGTACCTCAGAAGTACATAAACCTTGTGAAAGGCTCTTTACGTGGACATTACCAGTCTAGTCAGAGCTTATGGCGAAATGTCATCTGCTTTTGCAACCTCAAGTGGTGTCCGTCAAGGCTGTCCACTTTCTCCATTTTTTTAACTTCATCATAGACCTATTGATGGAAATAACATTTTCGTCTACTGAATTCTCGGGTATTGATCTCCTTCCAGGAGGTCCACTTATCGATTTAGAATACGCAGATGATATAATCCTGTTTGGTGAAGACTCTGATAAAATGCCGAGTCTTTTGGTAGCACTAAGCAATAATGCCAGAATGTTTGGAATGCACTTCTCTCCCTCTAAATGCAAGCTGCTGCTTCAGGACTGGTTTGCGTCAACACCTGAACTAAGAATAGGGAGTGAAGTAGTCGAACGCGTTGACAACTTCACTTATCTTGGAAGTCTGATCAGCCCTAATGGGTTGGTGTCTGACGAAATCTCAGCACGGATTCGAAAAGCTCCTTTGGCTTTTGCCAACTTACGTCACCTATGGCGAAGGCGATATCCGTCTATCAATAAAAGGACGAGTATACTGCGCGGCAGTCCGTCCTGTTTTAATTTACGGCAGCGAAACATGACCATTAATAGTAGAAGACACTCGTAAGCTACTAGTATTTGACCACAGATGCCTTAGAAATATTGCTGGCGTCTTTTGGGATCACCGGGTAAGTAATAGTGAGGTTAGACGCAGGGTATCAGGGAATGATGGTAAATCAGTTGATGAGGTTGTTAATCTTCATCAACTGAGATGGTTGGGTCATGTGTTGTGTATGCCTGAACACCGATTACCACGTCGTGCAATGCTAAAGAGTGTTAGAGATGGTTGGAAGAGAATTAGGGGCGGCCAAACCAAAACGTGGCATCAGTGCTTGAAGTCACTAACTTCTAGTCTGAGCCATGTTGGTAGATGCAGACTACTTGGTTGGGGTCCACGTGACTATCGTAACCAATGGTTGGAGACTCTTGGTGACATGGCTCAGAATCGATCACAATGGCGTAGGTGTATACACTTTCTGTCTTTTCTTAAACTAAGAGATTAAATCGCTTCATATCTTTCTTTCTACGAACTAATTCTTTCTTCCTGTACTATATCCTTATATGCAATCTTTCTTTTATATATTACCACCTCTGAATTAACTACTTTTATGAATCCGGTGTCCATCTTTTGTGTTAATAAGGTATGGTACCTGGTCCTACGTTGTAGCTGACTGACTATTTATTTAATTGGACACATAAATATTGGTACAAAAGGGCACCAAATATATATGCGCCACACACAAATTTGAGGGGGGGGGGAAAGGTAGGAAGCGTAAAAAAAAGAACAATAACGAACATATTGGTGTAAGGTAGTGTAATAATAATAATGGGGGAAACGGATAGGTACAATCAGAAGAAATCTTTCAGTTAAGGAAGAAACAACCATTTTTAATGAAGAAAGTAAAAGAATGTTAAAGCAGGATCACCACTGACTTCTATTCTGAGCCATATCTGATAACGTCTCTAGCCACTGTGTTAAACCATCTCTCGGACCCCAGCCAGGGAGTCGTGAAGGACCAACAGAAGACAGCCCTTTGCAGCTTTCTTTCATACCACGACACCATGTCATACACTGACCACCTCTCCGCTTCTTCCAACCAGTCCCAGAGTCGGAAAATAATGCACGACGTGGAATTCGCTGGGACGACATTCGTAGGACATGTTCAAGCCACCGAAGTCGATGTTTCAAGATGTCGACACCAATTGGATTATCATCTCTGTGCCCAAACACATGACGCCGAACCTCTGCATTATTAGCATGGTGTTGCCACTGGATGTCAGCAGTCTTTCGGAGACAGCGATGATCGAACACAGAGTCATCTAACATCCTCGACTCGTAGAGGTCAGGTTTCACAAGCATAGAGCAAAACTGCTCTCACCGACGCGTTGTAGATCCGACCTTTTACAGCCAGACTAACATCACGAAGGCGCCAAAGATGACCCAGATTGGCATAAGCCGCTCTGGCTTTTATAATACGTGGATCGATCTCATCACTCACGCCACCACCAGCACTTATGCAGCTACCCAAAGACACGAATTTCTCGACTACTTCTATCTGCTCACTATCCAGGGTGAGTACAGGATTAGAATCCTGCCAGTCTTGTAGAAGTACTTTGCACTTAGAAGGTACGAAGCACATACTATACCTACGGACACTGATTGCCAACTAATTAATTGTGGATTGAATGGCTTGGGTATTATCGCACAGTAAGACAATATCGTCCGTATATTCAAGGTGGAGAAGTCTTTCTTCAGGTAACAGATCCACACCGCGATTACTTACATTCATCAGAGCTGTTTCCAGAATGTCATCGGTGACAAAGTTGAAGAGGAATGGTGAGACTGGGCAACCCTGTCTAACCCCACTACTTGAATGGAACAATGGAGAGGGGTGGTTGCATGCCCTCACTCTGCCTGAGGTGTTTGTATATAGGACCTTCAGGATGTTAATAAACTTCTCAGGCACACCCTCCTACAATAGACAATCCCAGAGAACAGTTCTGTCCAACGAATCGAAGGCAGCCCTGATGTCAAGAAACACTACGATTGTTGGCCTTTGATAAATATGGCGGTGTTCTAACATTTGGTGGAGGGTGAAGATATAATCAATACATCCTCAACCAGAACGAAACCCAGCCTGCTTCTCGCGAGTCAATGTTTCTCGGGTTTTGAACAACCTACGAAGTATGACGGAAGCCAATAGCTTGGATGCAATCGGAAGTAGACTTATCCCCTGATAGTTGTTACAGGAACGACTTGAACCGTTTTTAAAGATAAGGAATACTATCGACTCGTTCCATGACGTTGGTACACTCTCTAGCTCCCAGACCTTTGTAAACAACGTCGTCAGTTCCTTAACCAGAAAGTCACTACCATCTTTATAAAGGGCCGGAGGTAAGTCATCTGGGCCCGGTGGTTTGTGGCGCTTCAAGAGTTGGAGTCCCTTGCGGATCTCCGTCTTATTTGGTGGATCAGTCGTCACCGGCCATTGAGGGCAGGACAGTCTGACCGATGTTTCTGGAGCAGCAGGCCAGTTGAACTGCCCTTCGAAGAATTCTGCCCATCGTCCAAGACGTCTATGGATGTTAGTGATTGGCGGAGATGACAAAAAGACATCGTTTCTCACGCCGATTTCTTCTCACTTTGATGGAACTTTCTAATCTAACAGCACATAACCGACTGTTAATGGGGATCCAATCGATTAGTGCTGCTTCAGCTCTAGCACTCAGTGCGACACCAACGCCAGAGAGATCAGACGAAGATGCCACAGGGTCCCTGGATAAGCGCACGTAAAACAAGCTTTTTGAAGCGACAGATGGAGAGCGAATTTGCAGTACTTCACCAGAGTCTTGAATACGGGTCTCGGATAGACAAAAAACGTCAATATTAAGACTTTCCAAAGACACCTAAATAGAGACCAACTAAGCAAGCTGAAATCTATTAGGTGAGTTTGAATTTTTACCACTAAGATTGACAAGTAAATGATTGTTTACCCAGCTAGCAACAGTATCTCCGTTCTTTTGTTCGGTGAAGTTAGTGAAGAATGTGTATACAAATAGGGCGTAGTTGTGTGTTCAGTAGGCTTTGTTTATTGGTATGTAACAGAGTTTTTTCCTTAATTTCCAACAGCTTATGAAACAAAATTACCGAGGGATTCGTCGACTTCGACGTGATGGAAACTGCTTTTATCGAGCATTTGGTTTTGCGTATATTGAGTACCTGCTAAATGGCAAGCTAATTAAAGAAGCTGGGAGGTTTGTTGATTTTTGTACTTTCGTATGCTTCGTGTTGTGTCACTTAATTTCCTAACCATACTTAAGTTACAACTCAGTATGATCAGATTTTTCGTCAATCTACGCTACTGTACGTAATTTATTTGTTTCAATTTCAGGATGATAAATGACTTGCGAAGTGAATTTCACTCTTCATTCACAAACCACTATTTGTAAACACCGTTTAACACAATTCTTTCTTAAATAGACTAAGCGTAAATCAATAAACTCAAATGATCCTCAATGATAGGTTTTGCACTGGTCCACTGCCGGTCTGGATTCGCACGCAATAGAAGTTTAATATTGGAATTTGTCTTTTGAAATGGTTCCCAAAATAAGTCGAGTTACCTTAGTGGTAAGGCATCCAACCCACTTCAAAGAAACTCGAAATACTGGTCAACGGGATTGCCGTAGTTACTTTATAATAAAACCTATATATAAAGGTGGTTGTATGATATTTTTAAAGATAATCGTTATATCACTCTTTAATTAGTTGCACCTAAATATTACCATACTTTTAAATTGTTTACAATATGGAAACGACATAAGTGCATTTAATTTGACGATACATCGTGTTTTAACTTCTTACTATATATTTTGTGATAAATAATTATATTAGGATATTGTTAATTAGTTTTTGTGAAGGGTTCCTGCGAAACAAAGTTATATATGAGTTTTTCCGGGTATAATGATATCCATTGTCCCGTAATATCTTAAGAGTGCTATAGAAAATTACATCAAAGGTGTTCGGTATCTATTTATGTTAGTTTATCGTTTCTCATAACTCTTTTTACTTTTAACAAAATCTAGTGTAATTTATATTTATGTTCATCACTGAATCTACGGAGGGTTCTCGACCTTGATATGTCGGAAATATTTTGTGTATTTCACCATAGTTTATTCTATTTTGAACTTTGTTTACTGATACAGTCTAAAGGTTTGTGATATGATACCACTGAGTAAAGGTTAATTTTGTCGGGTTGCCCCTGTAAACTCATCATAAGTTCCTAACCGAGATTCTAGAAAAGTGTAAAATTTGATATCCAGATGTTAACGAATTTGGCTTCGTATCAAAGTTGCAAACAATTATGCTGAAACGTCATTTTCTTACCCATGTATAAATGATATATATTATGTGTATTAGTTTCCCTAAATCTTCATGGCTTTGCTACTTTATCGTTTTTTTTAAGTGTAGCTTCTCTGTTTTACCAAAACGCTATTAAACGAAATAGTTTTTCTGGTAAAATATTCCAATTCCTGTAACTTTTCCAAGTTTGAATCGCCTCTTGCCATTTCTGTTCTAGGCAGCCGGGTATCATCTTCAATTGTCATATAACAAGTTTGACTCAAGTCAATGAACGAAAGTGTGTGTGGTCATCGTAACTAATCTAATTAAAATTATTTCCAATTCACTTTATTTATTATAAGATATTAAGAGGAATCATTAGAAAACTTACGGGTTTCCAGAGTAATGTACATATATTTATATGAAAACATTTTCTTGTGAGAATTCGAAATTATGGTCAAAAGCATTATTGCTGGTCCGAATTGATTGTAATTAGTCCTATATGGGACCGAATATGTAGATGACTTTTCCTCCCAGTCCTAACAAAACCTATGGTACTATTTACACAAATCAATTTTGATGTATTCGATTAGGAACGTGTGAAATTGCGGTGGCGAACGGTACAGATTCTGTCTAGGAGAGTACATACTTCATTGAGATTCCATATGTATCTGTCTGATGAGTCTCGACAGACATGAGAACTAGGTTTAGGACTTCTTGCCCACAACTTCTAATCATCTTACTCTAAATTGGATTTCATATCACACCTTGAATGAGTTGATTTTATCCTTTTTTAGATTCAAGAAGAAGTGTGATGAGTGTAAGGATACACTGATTGCTAATGGTTATACACAGTTTACTGTAGAGGATTTTCATGAACAGGTAGGTAATTATTAATTATCTTTTTTTATTCCTCAAAAGTACTTTCATGCAAGTGTTTTAATTACGTTTTCCTATATTTGATCCTTTTGGGCACAAAAGTACAGTATACACTAGCACCAAAATAAATCCATGATGATAACTTTGAATTTATCAATAAAATAAAAATGTATATCAACTCAGAACCTTGCACAGAAGTGCACATGTCTTAAGCTAGCTCACTACATAACAGTAGGAAATAATAAAACCAAGGTAATGAAAGAATTTGAAGGATATTGCTAGCAATAAATAAGACTAAAAAAACAAATACTAAATAGACTCCACTTGGTTAAGTAATTAATTTAACTCGTTTACCAATTACGGGTTTTTGTACTTGGCTTTGAGCAACACTTTTAGACTACACTCTCAAAAGTGACTACACGGTGGTTCGACGATAGTGTAGCGGTTTCTCAATAGAACAGTAACTTATTCATGGTAATAACGAACAAGTGGTCGATTAAAGTTGGAAATTTATATATAAATACGTATAGATAAATGAAGGTTTCTACAGTAAATAATTATCAGTTTAAAGTACAAACCTACATCCGAGGTGATACAACCAGGAACATTATTAAGTACTCAATATTGACATGTGCACAAATAACCAATTAGATACTACTCGACGGATAAAAATACATTAGCCAATAAGAAAGCAATTAGTTGTTCAATCAATTAGTGAAATATAAGATAGAAACAGTGCAAAACACCAACCACCCAAGTAATATTACTATGATACGTAAATCTTATATCCAGGTCCATCTTTAACAACCGTTTTGCAGCCGAAAAATGGACGAATTAGTACTGTGTACATTCACTCTTTGATAACTAGTCTGATATATTTCAATCGATGTAGTTGGAGAGGTTAGCAAATATCGAATACACCCACAACTAAGGTATTTTTCGTGTAATTAGTTCCCTGTTAGGATTTGAATAAAGCAAAAAAAATTAAGACAGACTAATGTGAATTCGTTATATTTCGTGGCTTCTCATCAGCTGCTTACAATCATATGTATATTGAAAGATAACATCGTGGTATGGTATGATGTGAAACAATTGGCATAGATAACGAAAAGAATTGGAATGACAAAGGTTATCAATAATAACTATATACAGATATATGCAAGAACAGATTAGAGGTCATTTGGAGATGGAATTCAAAAACATAGGGGGTGGGTGGATGGTTCATCAACTAAATGAGGTCCAGAGACAAATGAGATAGACTGTGTGATAACTTTAGAATTTGTGAACGGTTTACATAAGATTACTAGATTTTGAAATTGATAAGATGGATTACGTGATAATTGAACAGGATTTGAAGAGTCTATTTAAGTTAAAAGAATCAAGTAAATGAAAATGTATGAGTGAAGGGATGGTTTTAGTGTACATAAAGTAAGAATTAGTTAAGAGAAGACCTCATAACAAAATGAACACTAATAAAATAATGATAATAACAAACTTAACCAAGGTAGTGATAAGTTTATTGCTAGTGCTTTCAGAAACCCGAGAGACACTGTATTTTTTTTGTCTGCTAATAATTTCGAAGGTTAGGTGAATGTCAATAGTATGCCTGGTGAATTCAATGCCGATCTATTGCACTATTTAGAGCCGTTGCGTCTTTCAGTTTCAAATTCTTTGGAATGTGCTTGGAAATGCGAACATGTACTCTTCTTTCTGTTCTTCCAATATGTGTTTAGGCACGTGCATGTAAATTGGTAAATGTTCACTCAAACAAACAAAAATTTACAGGCGCTCTTTTCTTAATGCCTCCAACTACATTTACCTTTTTTTTCTCATAAACAAGTGTTTTAAAGTGTTCTATTTATTCTGTATATAATGTAATTCATTTTCCAAGTATGAATATGAACTTTTGGCTACATTTTAATTATGCGAGCTAATTGAAACTACCTGGTTATACCAGACTAAAGTAACTAGTAATTCAAGGCTCGAACTTGTTTACCTTACTAGATGGAAGGTGAGTGCCTCAATTGCTAAGTCACCATTGCACCAGTGTTTTATTGGTTAAAGTAGTTCTTATTTTTAAATTTATAGATGAATATATTTAGTAGTTATTCCATACAGAATAAATACATTGTATCAATTTCTATTAAGTGGATAAATTATATATTTATTAAATATTAAGCATAAATCTCTTTGTTTACTTTCTTTTATGTTTTTACTGTCTTTGTATACTTCTCTTTATAATAAATATTAGTTCGTTGGAATGGTGGATCGGTTTACTGTTGATGGTGGCACATTGGAAGAATTAGAAGAAGTTTTTAACGATCAGGCATATTCAGATTATTATGTCGTATTTTTACGGTTAGCTATTCTGTACTTTTTCCTATAGAATTGTTTCTTCTTAGATGGCAGGAAATACATTTGTGGCTTAATATTGTTGCGTTGTTTAACCTAGGTGTTTTAATTGCAAAGTTATTTTTGGTTTTAAAAAAGATCATCATGAATTTTAGCAAGGTAATATTAAAGTGTGAATGTTTTGTATTTTCTCCACAACTTTCACATCGTTATGTTTAAATCGCTGGACATTTGATTTTCCTCATGTACTAACTTGTTCATTTGTTCTGGAATCATGTAAGGCTGAGTGGTGATTTTTAATTATTGATGAAATACTTCAAGGTCAACTACTGCACGTAATTTATTTAAACAAATTCATATGAAATTGAAATACTCGATGAAAATACGTTGACTTTCTATCAATTATCAGATTTTTTTATGGATAAGATCAATGATATGCATTTAGACAAAGATAAATTAGTGAAAAATTTTCATCTCTCTGTTTTATTCGTTTCAGTAGTACTACGAATTTATAAGTATACTTTGTTTCAAGTATTCAGCGAAAAATAATACTTCTCAGTACGTACATACATTATTTACTGTTAATAGTCATTATGCTACTTGTATAGTAGAGCAAAGCATATTAATTCATTTCGTATTCGATTTTAACTTAGCATTTATTTATATTATTAATATTACTTGTGGAATAAATAAGCTTTCTGATATTGGTAAGAAATGTGCAACCCCTCATCCACTATCACCCGTTACTGAGTCGCATTCATGACATTCGAATTTCGCAATGAACATGATAACACTAAATCAAAATTTAATAATTTATATCTAACTTTATTCATTCTATTTTCATCTTATTTATTACTAATTTGATTTGATTTTGAATTGTTATGCTTTTAGACTCTTAGTTTCTGCGTACATTCAAAAAAAAGCTGGGTATTTTGTAAATTTTATTGATGAAGGTAAAACAATCAATCAGTTTTGTGAAACAGTAAGTTAATAAATCATAGATATTTTTAAATCTGTTGTCGTTATTGTTATTGTTGTTGTTTTTCTTCTTATGGATTACAAGTGATTAATTTCAAAAAAGGATATAATAATATCGATAGCATTTAACCTCGAGATTGTAATTAATTATAGTGAACGAATAATTTTTAAAATAATATAATCAGAAGTGGAATTATTAAGATGAATTACTCGTAGAAAAACAATAAATCAATTGAGAGAACACATTAGGTTTATGGATACTGTTTAAAAGTTCATCAGAGAGGAGTGAGTAACCTACAAAATTGATATGAAAATGATAAGAAAGTATTTTATCTTCCTATATCAGTTGATTTAGAGGCTTACATGTCAGTAATTCGTTCTTGAGAGCAGCCACCCAGTCAGCCACAAAGTATCATTGGATATTATCAATCGAACAGCGTTGTATCGATTAGTCGAACAATGCATAAGCGTCATTCCTCACTACAAATCATAGCTTATGATTTTTTAAAACATAATATGGACATTATGGACGGATAATTGTAATATATCTACTCCACTAAAAATAACAAACATTTGTACGTATTTTTACTTAATCATATCCTAATTGTTCATTGGAGAATTCAAACCCATTCCTAGTAATCTCTAATATAATCAATTTAACACATCGATGTAGTCACTAATATGTCAAAAGTTGTATACACCTTGTATCAATTATTTCAAATTTGATCCTCCTTACATAGTGTTCCCATCACACTTCAACAATCTGTCAAAGGGTATTTTAAACTGTATATTTAATATTCGATGGGCAATTACAAGTCTTGTCAATACTACAGGTTAGGCATATTGACAACTGTAAATTGAATGAATGTTTAGTGTGCACTTCAATATTAATTTTTCTACTAATTTGATACGATGTGTTAATTCTAATATTCTCATGTACAAAAAAAACAGCTTGTTACTGATAATTTAATATTTGTATATGATTAGTTAGCCTTAAAAATGGATTTACCGTGTGAAGTTCCATTTAATTTATAATTTGTACAGAGGTAGCCTAGTTGTTAAGTATAACGGTATCTTAATGATGAAAACATTCGGTCCCAATTTTAGATTCTGCCTATGCCAACTTGGGCTTGGGCAACTACTTGATATCCCTAGCAATCACACTTTAAATGTGATCTAAAGATTGGTAGGATTCATTATTATTAGTTCTACTATTATTATTTAAATTAGTTTGTCGGCTTTCTGTTGATACCTTTTCACTCTTGCGCAGATTCGTGTATATGAATTTTGCATAAGATTGTAATCAACACTAGATTCTAAGACTTTTTTGTAATACGATCTACTGTCTGACTTAACTGTTAATGCTTGATCAAATAAAAATTAATCTTCACAAAGAGTTCTATTTACTGAACAATAATACATGTAACTTATGCTTATTTACAATTAGTGTACATATAGACAATAAATTTTGACTTATTTTGGTAATCCTCGTATTTTCTATAACTCATTAGCATTCAGAGTTCACTGATCATGCAACCTTGATATATCTTATAGCTTAAGAAATTGTACATATTTCATCTTATCTCTGAAATGATTGTAAATGAATTCAGAAAATAACTGATATTTGTCATGAAATCGCGACCAATTTAATGGTTTAGTGAATCTTCTTTTCAATGAATTTCTCATCAGGTTCTACAATTCATAAATCTAAATTAATAATCCATGAAATTGGTCAGATTTACGACAGAGTACATCATTTGGAAATTGTAATATGTGAATTGAGAATTGTTGTTTGTTATATGAAATCAAATCAAATGGTTAATGTTGAGGCTGACTAATATAAAGTGTTAACTTGAATCAGTTTATAAGTGAAATGAAATTGTGCGATAAAGGATCAGAATAAATATGGTCGAAATGGGGTGAGAGAGAATAATGTAATTACAAGTCAGAAATTACGTAATATGTAGAATAATATGAATTAGGTCAGATATAGTAGATTTAGGGGTGGATGCTGAATAATTTTCTCAGAAATGTTATCAAGTGTAATGATAATAATGACAATGGTAAGATGTGTAGATAAGTTTGGGACATAAAAATGAACATTAATCAAATTAGATCACCATATTATAAAATTGATTATTAACTAGTTGGCCAGGGTAAAAGAAGCGGCTGAACATATTTCTTTTGGATGCAAAGCTCTGACTTTTTGATGCGAATAGCAATTTCTTCAGCCGTCTGTAGGATTCGCAGTCTGACGGAATTAGGTAGATTGCTGTTAAGACGATATATTATTGTGAAAGATTGCTCCATGTTGGCTGTATGTCCCATTTGAATTAAAGGGGCTAAAATGGAGTTAACCGGTTTAACTGCACCTTTGCTTAACCACACTAGGAGGTACTCACGAGCCCGAATATACAAATTCCTAGAACATCTGCCAATATAATTTGCTTCACAGGAGCAGTTGAATTGATAAATACAGAAAAAAGTGACTAGTCTAGGCAATTTATCTTTCAACCTCTGAGTGATCAAATTACTCCTGAATTCTACCAGCATTTACTATAATAAATATAATCAAGATTTTTCCACAATATATTTTAAATTGTGAATTGAAAAAAAACTTGCAATTTTCAAATTACTATATCCAACTTTTAAAATAAAATATTTTTCTAATATAAAAAACAACAACAACAGGAGGTTGAACCAATGGCTCGTGAATCAGATAATATACATGTGGCTGCTTTAGCATTAGCTGTTGAATTGCCTATTTATGTAGAAAATTGTCAACAGTCGGGTGAATTGAATCGTATCGAGTTTCCTGCATATAGTGATTTAATATTGGATAATGCCGGTGAAACAAGCAGTGATAACCATGATATTCACAGTGAACAAGTATCCAATGAAAATGATTCTTTTATTAATAATTATAAACAGAATAGTAGTTCACCACCAGTTACATTATTGTATAGACCAGGTCATTATGATATATTATATCCTAATTCATGAAAATATTAAAGCAATTGATAAGATCGAAACTGTTAAATTGAATAATACTCTCTGTATCATTGATAATCAACATTACAGTAGGTTTATATGTTTTGGATGCTACTTTATAATTTAGATTAACTTTCAATGATGATTTTTGTTGTTGCTGTGTTTGTCTGTATGTGTTTATGTATTTCTGTAGATTCTTTTCTTTTTTTGTAATATGATGCCTTTCACTAAAACAATAATTCAATCGATAGTAAAATATCTTTTTTGAATTGTTTCTTTTGAAGAAATTGCGTAGACTATTTTATTACGTTTTTTGCTTGTTACTCTATAACGACTACTGGACTTCACTTGGTTTGACGTAAATTAGAACAAAGATGTGTCGATGATAAGATATATTTCAAACAACCGGAACAACTATGTACGGTAATGAAAACGCAAGAACTTACATATAATTTGCATGAGGAACTTCTGGTGTATTCTTGAGTCATGTACCAGAGCTGAACAGTTAATGATGAATCAGTAAGGATATTTGCATTCGATGACTCAATGGCCGTGCAATCATAAGGCTCCTAGCCTCCCAACACCTCCCTTTTGAGGGAATCTTTAGGATTTATGGTCGGCGTTCACTCCTATCAACTCGACTAAGCCGCTTTCGATCTCTTCATCTTTCCCATAGTAAAAAATGGCTCCTTTTTTGTATGAACCAGAACTGAAGGTATTTATGAGAATAGAGAGTCGTATTATATGGTGGTTTTTATCGCTGGAGATAGGTGTTAGTTTTTTAGTAACCTTATAGCTGACTCCAGTGAAATCAGACTAATAATCGTTATCGAATGATTGCTGTCGAAATATACATCATGGCTACCCTCGTATATAATCATCAACTTGAATCGCGTCATTGAATAATGGAATTAAATAAATCAAATACGGGAACGGATTTTCGAATAAGTATATTTCGTACAACCATTGATTGTAAAGCATAGCAAAACACGACACGCAGCGGTGAAAGCATGTGAGCGAACCGAATTTACCCAAGCGTGAATCGATATTTATAGTCATACAAAAATAAGTTACAGGCACATAGTGAGTAGGGTAAGTAATTAACACACATACGATCATATAAAGAAGTCAGTATTAATGAGCGAATAAGTGGCAGGGTAAAAATGTGGCTTGAGAAGAACCAACGGATTGGTCTCTGCAGAAGCTAAAATAACTTATGTAGAATTGTCATAGTACCAGCCCCTACAATTCCAATCGATTTGCTCATTACACTGAGCTATCAAATCAACTAACATTTCATACATCAATATTGATTTTCACCAGATTCAACTGTCTGTCAGCTTATTGTTTTCCACAATAGTTCATAACGAGTACTGTCTGACCAAAATTAAACGGTCGTTTCTGTGCTCCATGGTTTTGGTCGGTTTTCTCCATGTCTGTTTCGATGAAACTAGACTCGGTACGTGACAAATAAATGCTGTAGATATATGCAGTTTTCATCCAACAAAACACCATCTACTGCATTACACTATGTATTACAATAGGTGTACGTAAAACTTTGGGATATTTTCTCCATTTATTCCCATATCTGTGCGGAGCGCATTCGAATGTACCTACAAACCCTTCCACATGTTCATTCGATTAAGGATGGCAGGATGATAGTTGGAATAGATTAACTCCATCCTGTCGACAAAGAAGATTAAGACTAACAGTTATCACCAACTATTGTCTACAGATACCAAAAATAGATGACTATGGAAATTCCTTACGGAGCAATAGATAAATTCCTTACTATAGAATAACATATACTGTCGGAACGGATCTAGAGAAAATATCTTCCATGAAACATAAACACAGACATCAGCAAATAATATTACCGAAAAACGACAAAATACCGCACACGATTTTGTTCCCAAGCTAGTGTACGTGCATTCATATAAATATCATGCGTTTACGTGCTGACGCGAATGTAGTGAGAATACAGTATTCTCAACATTATACAAGTGGAAAAACTACTCTATATAATAAGCAAAATTTTAACTACAATCCCTCTGAAGACATTGTAGTATATCGAGTAAGGAAGATCGGACTATGAGCTAATAAATGAGAGCAGCAGGTATATAAATATTAAATTCCGTAGACACAGGATATCTGGAGACGTAAATTCAATGTGCAGTTCAAAGTAGACGTAAAGATAAAGTGCGTACATGAATTTCGATGTGAGGACGTGCCAGAATGTAAAAACGAATATTTGTACATGCTAATAAAAATAAAGACGAGACGGGACAATTTGTTGTACAACACAACAACAAACACCATCGATTCACAACTACTAACATGCACATACACAATATGTCCACATACTACTACAGTCTATATCAACATCACCAACACATACGCAACAACATTCATCACACATGCATCGAAAACACACTATTCCAGCATACTCATCACCACTTCAAGTAACAACTTGCCCAACAACCATATTGTCATCATCAACATCATCACAAAGAACAATAAGAACAACAACAGCAGCAGCAACATCGTCGTCATCCACACACACACAAATGTGTTTCCGTCACCTTATCATACACAACACCTCACACTATCTGGACAGAGAACTCACAGTTACTGATCTACCGACTGATAAATTGTCGGGAAAATGTGGGTGTTGGGAACAACATCACTCCTCTACATATTCCTCTCCACCTACTGCCACAGACTACAAGGCCGCACATGTTTGTTCGTTCGATTGTGTGATTGTGTGAGTGGGTGTGTGTGGGCATGTGTGCGCAAGTGTATGTGGTGTGTTTATGCGAATGTCAATAGGAATCCACACATTCAATCACAATAGACTCCCATCAAATTCATTGTGTATATGCAACAATCCACCTGGTTCGTTAGACATCATGGTTTCCAGACTGCCACCAGCTGAATGTGCTGACCACTAAGACAGACTACGACAGAGAGAACTAAGTGGAAGGAGAGTGAATGACTGAATGTGAGTGAAGGTGTGATGGAGGGGAATGTGGAATGCTACACGGAGCCCAAGTGAAAACACGAGATTGGATTGTGAGGAGGAACGCTTAGTGGTGGCACGTGATTACAGTGATGTAAATGATGTTTCGTAGTGGTAGAACGTGTGGGCGAAAACTGGAAGCCAGTCGCCTGCCGGAACCCGGGATCGAACCGGGGACATTTAGATCTTCAGTCTAACGCTCTCCCAACTGAGCTATTCCGGCGACATAGGTCCGCACAATCACATCTATTCACACTCAAAAGCATATCTTCATCCAGCATACGCACACACTACACGCCAAATCCAATATCAACATCAAAATTCTAACTAACAGACAAACACCAACAACAAGCACACCAGTTCATAGAACAATCGTCAACAATACACGTCCTACAACACCAACACGGCATCCAACCACACTGATCAAACAACAAATATATATTTTCACAGATTTAAATCATGAGTCAGTTGAAGCTAGACCACCATTGAAAACCTGGAAGCACTGGACGGCCGTTTCGTCCTAGTATGGGACTCCTCAGCAGTGCGCATCCACGATCCCGCACCACGCGGGGCTCGAACCCAGGACCTACTGGCTTCGCGCGCGAGCACTTAACCATTAGACCACTGAGCCGGCATCCAACGGTGTTAATGTCTAACTTCAACCAATCCACGAAGTTGCGCCACCATATACCATTGTCTTCAGTGAGCTGATATCTCACAACAGACCTGGTTGAACTCCACTGGTAACGGCTTCCCACTAGAACTCCAGGAGTATCTCTTGAAGTCAGTCACTAGTGAGCAGATGTTTATTATCAGAAGGGGTTTGTGGAGATTTTAGAAATTTTCACAGATTTAAATCATGAGTCAGTTGAAGCTAGACCACCATTGAAAACCTGGAAGCACTGGACGGCCGTTTCGTCCTAGTATGGGACTCCTCAGCAGTGCGCATCCACGATCCCGCACCACGCGGGGCTCGAACCCAGGACCTACTGGCTTCGCGCGCGAGCACTTAACCATTAGACCACTGAGCCGGCATCCAACGGTGTTAATGTCTAACTTCAACCAATCCACGAAGTTGCGCCACCATATACCATTGTCTTCAGTGAGCTGATATCTCACAACAGACCTGGTTGAACTCCACTGGTAACGGCTTCCCACTAGAACTCCAGGAGTATCTCTTGAAGTCAGTCACTAGTGAGCAGATGTTTATTATCAGAAGGGGTTTGTGGAGATTTTAGAAATTTTCACAGATTTAAATCATGAGTCAGTTGAAGCTAGACCACCATTGAAAACCTGGAAGCACTGGACGGCCGTTTCGTCCTAGTATGGGACTCCTCAGCAGTGCGCATCCACGATCCCGCACCACGCGGGGCTCGAACCCAGGACCTACTGGCTTCGCGCGCGAGCACTTAACCATTAGACCACTGAGCCGGCATCCAACGGTGTTAATGTCTAACTTCAACCAATCCACGAAGTTGCGCCACCATATACCATTGTCTTCAGTGAGCTGATATCTCACAACAGACCTGGTTGAACTCCACTGGTAACGGCTTCCCACTAGAACTCCAGGAGTATCTCTTGAAGTCAGTCACTAGTGAGCAGATGTTTATTATCAGAAGGGGTTTGTGGAGATTTTAGAAATTTTCACAGATTTAAATCATGAGTCAGTTGAAGCTAGACCACCATTGAAAACAATCAACACTGTCTGCTTTCGCACAACTCTTCAAGCAATATTGAGACAGAGTTCACATATCAGTAGTCGGGCAGATATGCACGTCACGGTGATCATCATAACAACAATAATGATCGTGTGAATAATAAATAATATTGTTGGTATCATTCAGTACTGTATGATTAGATAAAGTTGACGAGTGCTCAGCAACTGTGTTCAACACAAGGTTGGAGTGTGTTTGACTGAATGGATGCATGAATGAATGCACGTATGACTGATATGACCACACTCATCGGATCTGTGTGGATTGTAGGGATCGGACGTTCCGAATGGTTGATAGCGAGACTCCGGATTGAT